GAGTTTATAGTAATTATATTGCATAACGACCTGAAGTTTGCGTTTGACTGAAGGATCATAACGGGTTTTTGAAAAAATTGTACAAATTGTATAAAAATATATTGTCAGGCGTTTCGAAAATTCCATAAACAACTACATGTCCAACAAGCGGATGTTTTCACGCCCACCGCTTAAAGCCGTGTTCTATCAACACGATAAGCAAATTATGGCAATTCATAGACACCTAGAGAATGAGCTGTTTTTCACGTGGTTGATAGGCTTATTAACTACACAAAACAAAATTGTCAAACGAATCCAATTGTCAGCTAACGGAATCAGTAATGTATCGATGCGTGGGCCCATGTTCTTTGCTCAGAGTAATTGAGGAAGCATCTTTGTTGGTGTAGTTTTATTTATAACATTGGAAAATGCTGAAATGTTGAATAAGGTTGGTACAATATATTAGAAAATGCGAGGGGAAGCATCTTTGTGAGGTGTAGTTATATTTATAACATTACAAAATGCTGATATGTTGAAAATGCTTTGTACAATTTATAAGATAATGCGAAAATTCAAAACATCAGAAGATTGAAATATAATTCAATTGACTGCGTATTGGCAGTTAACGGAATCTATTTGAAACGACGCAATGGATACTTGGTATACTTCAAGGTAAGATTCGCCAAGTAAACCAATACTCGGTATAAAATTCGAAAGATTCTAGGATAATGTTACATGACGCCACTTTTCAAAGGCGAGATGGAGAACGGGATATTTTATTTTTCAGTGAGTTCATGAGAAAATATTTTACGAATTCGTGATAAAAGCGCTCGACACGTTAATATCATGCATCATGCACGTAAAGTTGGCTGTCATACTTGAGCGTTTCAATTCGTCTTACATTGTGCTGTCGCAGTGCATCGATGAATGGAATGAACAATTGCTTTCGTGCGTGTTTCTGACGTGACGTGTGACTGAAACAAATAAGGGTATGCGTCGAGATTATATTATATTTTCTATATGTAGATCATAAGGCATGTCTTACACAATTTCTATCACTCGAAGGGGGTGGCATATTTGTACACAAGAAGACTGCTACTAATCAAATCATTCCTAATGAGCAATATTTTTAGTTATTATGAGTAATTTGCATTTATTAAAGACGTATAAGATTATGTGGTATGATGGATATTGGCGACCTTTTATGGTCAGAACTGAATATTAGATATATATAGATCATGTTGTCAAATTAGTGTCCATACAAAATTATTTCTGAGAAACAATGAACACGAAGACGCATCAGTCATTTAAAACAGTATTGGTTGTAGCACGTACTCTGAAATATTTTGACGTTATTTTTCATTTTTTAATATGACGCATGCAGATAGCTATATTTTTACGATATTAGAGGACTTATGTAATTGTAATGTACGCTTACTCTTAGTACCTAATCTGGTTGAAGTTCGGGGAGAGAGGGCACACCTCTAGTGTATGGTTACGTAAACCTGTCCTTCGGTCCCTCCGGGGACCAGGGAGTGTTCGTTTAGGGTCCCAAAGGCTCTCGTCAAGTGTCATTCGCGGTGACTACATTAATTTAAAGTAAATTAACTGCGATTTGTCGTTTGTTGGCGTTTTATTATTGAACGTGGCAAATAAAATATCTGATGGGTACCACTTAAACAAAACTAGTTTTTTATTCATTTAATTTTAGGACCAGGGACATGAATTGTTGAGAGTCTTTGGGAGGGCGATGATGGATCAGGAAAGTTTAAGAACCACTGCACTAGTGTCGAACTTTGGTAGGCAAGCTTGTGAAACTCAGCAATAACAAATTGTAGTGACTATCAGGAAAAGCAGAGGTGAAACTTGGACAGATTTGTGATATTACTAAATAAAACCGTTGACAGAATATTTGTTTCAACTTCCTTATTTAAAACCATGGTTTCCTTATTCACTTCCTGAAGCTCGGCTACCTTGTCTAAATTGTGACAACCAAATCTCTCTATAATTTTGCATAATTTTATAGACAACAGTCAGAAAACTTTTTTTCATACACATTTGAATACATCTTTAGTCGCGTTTGCATCCCGCACAAGCAGCGCGCGGATGCAAGCACTAATACATTCAGGACAGGGCGGAAATATATCTGCAAACGTTAGTTATTCAGTTACAATTTCCTAAACCTTGAAATTATTTTTTTTATATATATTTATATCCAGAAATATTTTTCAATTTTATTAGCGACTGAAGAGAGTATATTTCATAACTGTGTGTTAAAACACCTGAAGAAACACAGCAGGTTTAGCAATTCGGCAAAACCGGACATATTAACTGTTCGACTTCTCAATACCTGGCAAAAAATATTTTATTGCCAATTTAGAATGTCGGTCAATTCGACGTGGCCGCTGGAGACTAATTCACGAGCATACGATGGTATCTCTAGCAACAGAATAAGAAGCCCGCTGAGTATAAGTGAGGACTTATTACCAATTTGGATACTCTGCGAATCAACTTCCTGCTGCCTAACTGCGATTTCTATCTACATTGCGGCAGTGTTGATAAAGCATGCGAGAAGTCAAAGCGTTTCAAGGTTGGCAAAGCGACAGAGAGACAGTATGATGTTTCCTTCTCAGGTTAAGTGTTCATCAAATGAAAATACCAATCAAAAACTCCCAGACGTTTCAATCGGATCACAAAAAGATGACACGTTCAATCCAAATCCGGTAAAAATACCTTATAACGAACAAATTAGTGTTGAGAGTGCAAAAAGCAACAGCAACCTGATTGTTGGAAGTCCTGTTGGTGTGAAACCAGAATTTAATTTTACGCAAGGGCAGATTATAAGCGTTCATAGAAAAAAGGAAACTAATCAAGGAAAATGGCTCCTGCGAAGCATACTTGTGTGCGTCATTGCTGTCGTACTACGCTGCGTTACCGAACAGAGTCTTATACTTATGGGAAATTGGTCTGACCACGCTTGCGATATTTTAACCAAACTAATGATTACTTTCACTGCAGTGTCCCTTCATTGTTGTCACGTATTTTTATGGCTCAGGCAACTTACTTTCTACTCCAATCCGGTGCTGAAACCCCTACAATCAAAGAAGCTAAAAGTTGTGAGCTATGCAGCTTATGGAATCATGCCAATTACTCTTGCCCTAACTCTCGCTTTATACATGTGGTGGAGGGACTACAAAAACTACGAGGGATTTTGTGCAGCTTCAAAAAAACAAAACTTACCTTCGTACGTCCCGTTTTCAGTTCTAATTGCCTGCACGGTCACTATTCAAGTCTTACTGTCATCACTATTTTTGTATCCGCTCATTGTCCATAAAATGAAAAGGCGAAATTCAGCAACTAAAGTGAAAGCAAGAGTCGACGATACTGCATCTGAATCTCGGGTCACTACAGCGCCAGTGGTGAAATCAAGAAGATCAGACAGACTGATGGAATGCATCAGGAGAGTTCTCCACGGCGCGACCGTTGGAATTACCACAGATGTAGTCGGAGGCGTGGTGTCTATATTTTTGCCAGATGACTTACCTATATTCGCTTTAAGCTTATTATACAACCTCAATGTTTCATTGAATCTGCTATGTCTCATCTACACGTTTGCAAACTGGAGGCAGATGTTATTTCCTTGGTGTTGTCCGTCTCATCAACAAAAAGAATTTCGAAACTCCATACGCAACAGGCGTTCCTCTGCGCGACAAGGACGGCATAAGCACAGTCGTCGTCCTAGTCAAAGGTCAAATACTGTTATGGGAACCAAATACACGTTAAAAGACGTTGGTACTTGATTATATATACACACCATGTATCAGAGGAATCTTTTTACTTATGCAATATGCATTATTCATCTATTTTTTTAATAATAAAGTTTGGTGTAATATATTGCTGGAGCGCGTAAAACTCTTTATGCTGAATAGTCTAGTTGCACTTCGGATTTCAATTTGCGTAATATAACATGGACTTTTCATCCGAATTGTGTTATCTGTATAGTATATTCTATTGATATGTTTAATTTTTACACTTTTATTTGAAATAAAAATGATTTTGAAACGAACTTGAAGGTTAGTTGATGTTCAAGCTTGTATTTTCTACCGCGTACTTTCTTGAATGTGGCAAAAAGCCATCACGTCACGCTTAAATTGAAAAGTTGCACAAAAGTTAAATTAATAATCAATTACGCTCTGTAGAATAGCTAGTGCGCTGAAAGTTCATAGACAATATAAATAAAAAGCAAACTCAAAGTTGTTTGTTCACAATAACACACATAATGAGAGGTTTTGAATCAAGAATATTGTTTGATTTTCTTTGTTTTGTGGGAATATATAGAATCAATATCTGCTTAAATTTTGTTACGCCCACCCTATTAGCTTGCGTTCGTAGATGACTCTTGGTAATTATAAGTTGTATATGAGAACTAAGGTTGTAAATATGTGAATAGATAGGTATTTTACCTAAAATGATATGGCGCAACTACGACTTAATAGTTGAACAGACATAGAGCAAATTGAACTTAAACCTATTATGATAGAAGCAAAAATATTCTCTTGCTAATCATGATGTGGTACATTTACGCTCCCTGAGTTGTGTTTTTATTCGAATCACGTTGTAAACGTCTCACCAACTGTAGTGTTTAGCTTACTGGTCAATGTCATGCATATATACGAATGCATATTAGGGTTGACTCATTTCCAAGATCAAACTCCCAGACAATTTTTGATAATTTCAACGACCAAATTTTTGTGCTTTTAAAATCTTTTCAATCGAAAATAACTATTTATATCTGTCAATTTTTCCATTATTATTAAATACATGAAAATTAGTTAAAGAATCTCTCGGTCTTGGGGATAGTTTATAATTTTTACGATTTTTGACACTTTACGAAAGCGTTTCACACAAAATATCGATTGTTACTGTTCGATATGTGTGTATTATACATAGGGGGAAATCGGTTGAAAATTACCGTGGAGCTAACTCAAGAAATGTGGTGCCTAGAATGTGACAAAAATGTCTTCAAAACTGATTCATTTTAATTCAAAAAAGAAAATATTAATGATAAATTGCGCCCTTTCGAAATACCATGATCAAATATGGAAAAAATATAATTTTTTATATAAAAAGTACTCTACCGCGCATTATATGCGAGTGCAACAAATCATGTACGAGGAGGAAATATTAGAAGATTCAATCAATCTAATGCTTAAAAACAGTTGTTACTGAATTGAATCCTCGTCAGAAAGTTGCTACCGTTTGTTATTGTCATTGTCGTCGGGGATAATCTGAAGATTTTTAAAAACCAAAGTAATTTTAGTATACATTCTATTTTTGAGTTACTGTTCCCTAAATGCAATTTGAAAAAACCCAACACTGCAAGCAAGTTGCTTCGTTCCAGTACTCAATTACCTCTGAATATAGTTTCAGTAACGCATTGCATTTGTATTTGAAGTTCTAGTCAAGTATTTATGTCGATTACAGCAAATCATGACTGCCCCTTCAAGCATAGAATAAAAATCTATCGGCTAAATTTTTAACACTCCATCATTGGCATCAAATAATTCAATTTTGGCAAAAAAAAATTTGAATATATATATATATATATACGTAATACAGTGTGAATATTGATGAAACGCTGAATTTATCAACATAAATTTTGATTAAGAAAAAAAAATTGGCATAAAATAAAATTAGATTTACGTATTCATTTAACAACATAAAGTTTGTTCAACCTTAAAAAAGGATCGGAAATGTATTTTAATTTACGGCCACCTGGAGTCATCACCTTAATCACCCATCAAGTTTCAATTATTCTTTGCTATTACGTGGCCCTATGGTATAGTACCTTTTCACATCAAATTGAATATAAAAAAGTTCAAATGTTCAAAAAATGCAGCATTGTTTGTGTCGCGTATCATTCTGTAGTTATAAGTATAACTGAATTTCAAGTACATCGAATTTGAATGGACATAACGCATCACTTCCTGACTCTTCTTCTCTTGGCATGTTTTTGTTCGTCTCGGCGTCGTGTAATATCCCTTTGCTATTTTGTGTATGTTTTATTTTATTTAGGCATGTCTGGTTACACAATGTTATTGTTTGTATCTTCTTTCTTCTTTTTTGGAGTTTGAATGTGAAATTGTTTTTGATTTACCGCCACTCGGACGAGTTTTTTTTTAGTTGTTTTGATTAATGTCGGCCTTGGTTCAGCATCATGATCATTTTCTTCTTCTTGTATTTTTCCTACGTTTCTCTGAATTATTTTTTAACAAAATGAATATAAAAATAAACTAAATTCTAGCATGGAATCAAATAAAGCTTTGAATTATTTTGAAAATGTAAAATTTTGGATTGCAATACTAAATAAACGATTGTATTTATTGCACCAATCTGCTGTTGTGTTTGAGGGTAACTGCTCGAGGTAAAAATGAATTATAAATTTTATTCTACATTGTGGCTTTAATATAAAACCAGAAAATACTCTCATGTTATTATAACCTGAAACACTGGATCATGTGTGTCAATCATGTCCATGGGATTTTCTTCTCCGTTATTCACAGCTTTTTGAACCTTTTCCATTAATTTTGCTATTCCTTCTGGCATTCCACTCTTCCCGTCGCGGTGAACAACCGGTGGTTTTGGCTTGTTCGGATGTTGCTTTGGAAAAGTTTATGTTTGATATTAGATAGATATTTATTTTTGACTTAACATTATGCTTGGAATTCATTTTTTCCATATAGAGAAGACACGACATATATATATATATATATAGGGGGAATGAGTGTGGTTTATGATGTATTAGGTAGGAACAAAAACAAACAGATAGATTTTGCGCAAACGTAACGGCGCAATTCACAAATTAACAAATAAATCGGAGTAAACTTAGGTTGGATACAATGCAGATGTTCCGTTCCGGGCATGAATTTTTTTATGATTTTTCCTCGGGAATAAACATAAATATTTTTGTTCTTGTTTATATAAACCTAACTAACCTACATTATAGAAAACAAAAACAGTTTTGAATAATAGTTATTTAAATTCAACCTTTAATTCAGCCATCTTGCGTTCATATTCAGCTTGATTTTGCCTTTGTCTTCTGGCTTTTTCTTTCATTACTTCTTCGTGGCGTTGGGCCTTACTTCGAATCATATTTTCTGTCATCTTTTTCCTTGAAACGACAAAAAAACTATTTACTGAGCGGAACTTTGAAATCGCAAAAATAATTTAAAATAATATTTTTGTGTAGAATTGGCTTGGTTTGTCATCATGTCTTTTCCGAGAACTCAAGGCAAACAAGACAATAACTTGATTCCAGTCGTAAACTTTATACGAATCAACTAGTTTTTACCATAAGTCCGTGGACTACTCATATATATCAAGTAACGATTTCTGTGATTTATTCATATTCAATTTTTTTTTTTTGAGTTTTGAATCATGCTTTCTTAGTTTTCACGTGCTGGTAGTGGATGCCAATATTTCCTTTTCTATTATAAAATACAAATATATGTGTCTTACTTCCAATATACATCTCTTGTGCGAGCATCAACAACGGGATCTCCTGAAGTGACTTCAAACCACCAGTTCCATTGAAAGTATGGCTGTCTATATTTGTCAACAATTTTGCTTTCGACTGCATACGTTCCTGAAATTAACATCATAGCATAGCCCAATTATAATAAAGTGTTATATTTTTGAAAAATAACTGTTTTTTATCGCAACTGAAATAGCGCGTATTTTATTTCTTGATGGTTTCGCGTGTCATATTTTTTCGCAAGTGATCATCGAACTATACCATCAACCGGTATGTTTACTGTAATATATAATTTACCTGGTATATTTGGAATTGCAAAATCAGGTGTTCGGAAGCTGTACTTCTTTGGAATGTCGGGATTTGAAAAGTTTGGCGTTTTCTTCCCTGGCCAAGTGAACGTATAATGATCTAGAAAAATATCACATTTATTACAATAAAGGGTGTAATGGATTTATTTTCAGGTAATTACATAAATTAGCATGCGATAATATTTGCCTATAAAATTATCTAAAAAGTGAAATATTAAAATCGAAATCGTTGAATGTTTATGATTTGAAATGTTGGGAATCATTATTAGGTTAAATATGGGACATGGTGTTCAATTATCTATTTAATGGTATGACGTAAATTTTTCTTCTTTTGCTATCTCACTAAATGTGCATCCAGAGAGATGGGCTTTCACTCTTTATATCGTATTTCGTCTAATCTATGTTCGAAAAATATAACAATGGGCTACTTACTTTCCCCTTTCTCAAGATGAGATTCGAAATGCTTTTCATCTGTGTAATAAAGATATTCCGACGGGTTTAAGACGACCTGTTCGTAAACAAAATATGAACATTTAATCAACATGCATTTATTGCATTAATATTTGAAAACGTCTGAAAACGGTAGCTGAGTGGTAAGTGGACAAGACGTAAGGCAAACAATCATTTTTGTATGTAGTTATTCTTTAAATAACTATATTTGTGATTAATCACCCATAATTTACGCTTTTGCAAAAAACCATCGAAGTGCTGACATTCAGATGTGTGAATAAATTTGACTATAGATGGTATGTTCTCGTTTGGTTTGGACATTTCAGTGTCCACAAAAAAAAGTATTTGATGTTGACATTACTACAAGAAATAAAGTCAAAACAATCATATAGGAAACAATTTAGTTTTAGTGCGTTGTAACAAGTCTGCATTTGTTATCTGTTATAGTTAAGCATCTCTTACACGTGCAAATGCGTACGCGTAATAAATTGAATTAATTAGTGCACATTTGGGAGGGATATGTAAAAATCTGCAGAAAAAGTAACACAATTAAATCAGCACTTCATGATAATTGTATTCGTTGTTAACATATTTTGCGATCTTTATAAAAATCATATCTAAAAGCCTTTACGCAAGATTTACACAAGACTGAATTGAGATTAAAAAACCAGATAAATCAACTTATTTATATGGGGAACTTAAAAATCAAATACCTCTATATCAATCTTAAAAGCGAAGTAGTGTCTAAAATGATTTCCTTCGTTTTCATTAACCCATTTGGTTATATCGGGAGGAATCGTTTGTTTCAGAGGTTTTGGCAAACTCTGGTGTGCTCCATAAAAACCAGGGCAGTATTTTACATATGCTGTTGTATTTTTAGCCAGCACTTCATTGAGTGTAGGGATTCTTTTAACACCGTCTTCTAAAACTTCACTTGGGTCTAAAACTAAACGCGTATCAGTTCCTATTTGGTGTTTGCCATCTTTATTTATTACAAAGTCTCCACTTGCAGCTTGTTTTCTCAATTTCATCCAACCAAGCCGCATATCATTTCCCAATGCACCCATCAGTCTAACGTTTGGACGGGACATAATTAGTCTGGTAAGCTCTTTATCACTGTGCTTGGGTGGACCTTTTTTGCGTAACGTGTATTTGATCCCGTTTACTTCCTTTACGATTCCTCCACATAATGCTTGCATTTTGTCGCAAGCCGATTTCGCTGCCGTCAGGTTTGGGTATGAATAATCGGAGTCGTCAATTCGGTCGTGCTTCTCAAGGGTCTTGTTGATATATGTTTCCCATCGGCAACGACGGATGTCAATATCATCTGAACCACGTATATAACTTAAAAGTTATACTTTTTGTTATGCAATAGTAATTTCATACAATCACCCAAGCACCCGGAAAGTGTTAGTAGAAAAAATAGCGATGCGATGAAGGAGCACTCGACTACAAATCATGGCGGCGCGGGCGGTTTAATCTAATCTCTAAAAAAATTTATATTGATAAATGTTTTTGTATCGAAGCAAATATTTACTCACTTGAAAATGCAAGTCGAATGAATAGTGATGTGGACAAGGTTTTGAAACATCTGTGCACATGAACGCTGACTTGTGCGGCCTGAACTGTGAAAATTCTCCCGGACAATATCGCAAGTATGCATACTTTTCAGGCAAGATGTATCGGCGTCGTTCAGCTGACAATCTTTCGTCTCCATTTTCGTCGGGGGATACTGTAGGAGGTTTTGGCGCGGACGGGCCACTTATAACCAAGTGTCTAGGAATGCTACCCCTCCTTAAACTATAATTCTCTTGTTTGTTTTCACGTTGAACTCCTGAGCACTCAGGAACAAGTTTGTCGCACAGGTCTTGTGCTTGTTTGAGATCATGCAACATTGAAAACCGTCGTTTTCTACCATCTGGACCAATTAAATTATCTTTTATAAGTGAAGATTTGCCGTCTTTTCGGACGGTACCAGGCCACAGTGAAATATTTTGCGCTTCCTTTTTCTCTGTTAATTCAATGACGAAGTCCAGATACTTCCCGGGAAATTTCTCATAACGACACGGTCCTGTGAGGGTAGGTATAATGGTAAAGTGGGGTTTGATCGGAAGGGAGAAAAGATAAGTAAAGCAAACAGTTAATGATAATAAATGATGATGACAATAAATGATGCATTACAAACAATACAAGCTACGAAATTATAATGAACAACAAAATTGCAGAAGTAGAAACAAAGCAAAAGAGAAATGTGAGTGGTGGATTACGGTTATCCAGGATCGGGTGGGAACAACGCGTTTGATTTACCTTAAATCGAAGAATAGTATTACTAGCCGCGGAGAAACATCGACACCAAGGTACAATTTTAAGATGACAAATTTGGATAGTTTGAGTGGATGCATGCAAATTTAATAAATTTAGTGCATAAAAAAGAAGGTTAGTAATCAAATAAGAGTTTTGCGATTTCATTTGGCGCAAAGCAAACGAAGATTTGTTAATGGAAGCAAACAGGGTGCAATTATGACGTAGGTTTCTGTTCAACCATGGGGTTTGGACGTCAAAATCCAACGACCATGTCCCATGGCTGAATAAGACTATTCACATGCAGATTATATATTAAGACTTTCTCGCAATTGCAAATACATACCTGGATACAGGTCTATATCCATTGATGCCCTGCCATCAATATACAGCGTCAGTTTTGTTACTTGAATTCGTCTGATGTCAATAATTAATTTTGTATACATTGGAAAACGTTTTACTTCAAGTAACCGATATTGCAAATCTGATAACCCGTCAATATCTGCTCTTGTTTTTCTTGTGAGGTTTAGTTTGAAACTAAAAATAATTAATAGTTAATCAGACAACAATTAGGTATTTTTTTAGTTCATTCAATGTTTCTATAAAACTGGCAAAAGGGTTTCTTGTTCATGAAATTGTCATCTGTTTTCAGAAAAATCTATGCAATTGAAGTCATTCAAATTTAACTAATCATTAAGATTGAAATGTCTAGAATTTTTTTATCTCGACAGATAGCAAGTGTATACTTATCTGGTAAACTTAACTTAAAATCTTCAACAATTGATAATTGTATTTTAAATCTACGAACTCGTCGAGATAAAAATATCATCTAACTGTTAACATGTAGCCTCATTTTTATTTAGTCCCATTTTGTTTCGTTTTTTGAGAGAATACACAAAAAGAATACTATGTTGTTTTTGCTTTGTCTGACTAGACCAGGGGTTCCCAAACAAGGGTCGCGACCCCAAAGTGGGTCGGAGTGATAAGTAGGTGGGGTCGCAAACAGGTCATGAGGTCGGTGGGGTCGCTGAGGTATGGTGGAGGATGAATGTACAAAACATCTAAGATTTGATAAATCTTGTTAAATTTAGCAGCTTGTACCATGTCTTACTGTAAAACAGGCATATAGGCATCGCTCTATGCCTATGCTATAGAAAATGTAGGTGCTTATTGCGACATCACTGTTTGGTTTCAGCTTATTTTACCTAATATCACCACATGACCAAACTCAAAAGTCCAGTGAAAGAAGCTCCGAAGTTTCATGAAGAAATTATATATAGACCTGGGGTCGCACTGGACACTTGAAAGTTGTCTTTGGTGTCGTCCTGAAAAAAGCTTGGGAAACCCTGGACTAGACTAACATTAAATAACGTCAGCAGAATTTTAATTACATTAATTATGCAAAACTTTTCTTACGGATATTTATTTGGACTAAATTTCCACGGATGTAAATGCGGAATCATCATGTATCTCCCCACTTTCAGCGAAGAAGGAACGATCGTCATATTCCTGCAAAACGGTAGATAGTTTTTTTAATCAATAGAGTGCATATTTATTAAAAGATTAGACTTTACACAATCAATTGATATTAATTAAATATAAAAGTAATATAACTCTTACCTATGTTGTATTCTGAATTCCATGTCGTTATCTTCACCTCCCCAACCCCAGAATCGGTTAGAGTGCCCGTTTGCCTTACGATATTGTGATGGCGTAATTCCTGTGACTCCTCCAAATTCAGTTCCATAATGAGGTTTATACTGAAATTTGTCGATTGCTGGGACGATAAGAATTTGTATTTAAATGTCGGTTTGTTTACTGCGAGATTCGCTATCTTTTTGGTAAGCAAGTACATAATAAAATGTAGAACATCGATTTATTATACTCAGTTTTTATCATAACAATCTGTGCTTCTTTACATGCAGATGGCAGCACTTTTAAACCATCCAAGAAAACTCGGTACAAATCAAATGCGTGAAGGATTACATAAAATGTGTTTATATTATTTGATAATGCTCACCAGGAGAGAGATGCCGTGGTTGATCAGCACACATATAAAAGTTTCTATCGTTTTCAGGAATCATATCAACATCATGGAAAATTATACAATCGTAATCATCCAACTTCAATGCTTCTTCGAAAGCAGCATTCATGACTGTAGCTTTGTTGAATTGACCGTTATCAAACTAAAATAATTAGAATTTAGGAATAAAACTGTTGTTGTTTGAAGATTGCCCCAAGCCTTTACGTTCAGTGAAAATTCATGCGACTTTTTTGATAAATTGCTTTTGATAAAAACGGCCTTCAATTGTTGTCTGCAGTAATAATATAATAAATGATTGAACCTATTATCTATTTATTAATTAATGTTAAATACTGGAAAAGATAAATGACTTGAATAACCTTTTTTATTCGATTTGTGTGTAAAAGAGAAAATTACGTTGCAAAAGATTTCCTGGTAATAGCCCTTAGGGAAATAGATTTATTTGAAATTCTGTACAAACTCAGATAGTTAAATAACTCATAGCAATATCACCTACAAAAATGAGGAAGGGATTAAACAACTTTGTACTTACCTGCTCTGCTACGTATATGCAGTAATGGATATGTTGTCTCATCAACATAGGATGTAAGTGATACAATAACGTTTTAAGATGTGCATCTCTGTCCTTGAACGGAATTATAACTGCTACCTTTTGCCTTGAAGAAATTACATATACAAGTCAAAAAAAGTAAACATCAGGGGTCGGATAGTATACTTCCTGTCTTTTTGCTTATTACAATACTTACAAAGCTATACATTCTTTCGGTGAATAACACCCTCCAATTGATAAACCTGGTCCAACATGTTTTGCAACTTCTTCCATCGAAGGTGTAATATTGGGATTGCTCTTCATGTCACCAACTAAAATGAAAAACATAGTAATATAAATATATAGTAAGAGTGACCATAACAAAGGATATGGATTTCTTTGCAAGAATGAAAGGTGTCACAATCACCTTTTTATATCAGTTTAAATTTTTAGGTTTTTACAAGGATTTTTTAAAGAAAGGTAAATTCTTCAGATTGTTTAATACACGTACAGATTGAATATGTGTGTAACATATTGTAAGTACGGTTTAATAGCGTCATTATATTCTTGTAAGCAGCTTGGGCTTAACTATACTATTCCCAAAATAATTTTAAAAACATAGTTCTATAAATAGTTTCATAAAAAGTTGTAGCTTTCAAATATAATATATGAAGTCATATTTTTATCCACACACTTGAAGAATAAATGATATACAGCTCATCCTTATCTCACCCAGCTTTGGCGATCGTTTTTTACATTTCTCCAGAGATTTTTGTGATATCTTATCTTTCTCTTTATTTTCGGCAACTGCTTCGATTTGTCGCGTTACATCTACTTTTTTAACAATTTCTTTTTTAACAATTGGGCTTGTCGCAAGAAGAATTGAAGTACTGGTGATTGAAGTAATTGGTGTTTGTTTTTGTTGTTCAAGCTCTTGTTGTTGTTGTTGCGGCTGCTCTACTTTCTCTGTTTGTTCTTCCTCAATATGTGCTCGTTTTTCAAGTTTTGGAGGTTCTGCTTCTAGTTGAGTTCTATTAAAAATGAAGGTGTGATTGACATTGATTTTAGTCAATAATGGACCATCGGTACCACATAAACAAAAAAAATTGAACCCAATTTTGTTCAGTAATGCGTTCAACTGGGGCATTTAACATGCTGGGTGCGCCAAACTAAGTAAGTAAGCTATTCGGAGCACAAGTGATTACGGTTCATCTAAGCATAATTGCTTGTTACATTTTCAAAAAGCCGGATCCATAAGAGTAAAATTTACAGTGCTTTCCTCATTATGAAACACCAAGACAACAGCAGTTCAAATTTCACATTACCTGTAACCAATTTTTTGTATTGCTGTATTTTAGGTTAACGTTGATATAACTGATGACAGAATTTTTTTTTTCGAAATTGAATATCAACATAGATAACGCCATGGTATTCTTTGAGAAGAATCATGTTTGTATAGCTAAATTACAGTTAAAATAAAAGTACGAACGTGAATTAATGAATATTTAATTTAATTCCAGGAAAATGGATATTCTTTGCTATCGATGTCTTAAAGTTAGACAAGTTGACATAGCCCCGGGCATCGCAAAAACTTTGGTATTTGAATAATTCAACAAAAATACGTAAACAAATCGTCTGTACTCTTACGTGTTATGATGAAATTCGTATTCATTTAATGAATAAATCTGAGTTCATCAGTATTACATTAATTAGCATTTCAAACCTGATAAAAAATTCTCTTGGCATTGCCTTACACCAACAGGTAGTGCAAAATTTGGTATTTATCTATGGTTGGCTGCAAAACACATATGCTGTCAAATTCATTTTGTTTTATGCTCAGGGCCATTGCATAATTTTCAAAAATCGATGATGAGTTCGTGCATACCAAAAAACATATTTTTAGCATCTGAAGAAAATTTGAATGTATATGAAAATCACCGAATGAGTATGTAGTATTTCTTTTCTTTATATCGTCATCAAAAAATTACCATTATTTTCGTTTTTGTATGCGGGAGAATGCCTTTTCACTCACCTCACAGATTTTTTTTCCGTAATGTAAACGGTGCATGTGAATAAAAGTACAATGAAGATAAGAATATTGAGACTACGTTTTCTTCCCCCTAGTCTTAATGAACGTGGACACAACAGCAATGCATTTCTGGCGCTTCTGCTTATTCTCTGTAGCAACGTCATCTTCTTCAAATAGGGATTTTTTAGTTTATGGAATGTCAACAATTTGTTCGTAAAATTCAAGATTTTCCTATATATTTCATACCGAAGTTTAGATGTTGTTAGTAGTTACTAGAATGAAAGAATTTGTTTTTTGTTAAAATGTTATACTTTGAACATTCTATGAGATTATACGTGAAATAACTTTCATTCCGGTATGTAAGAAACTAGACAATCAAATTAGCCTGTCCATATTTGATTTTTAGGTCCCAGTACTCGCAGTTAAATATGAAAGCTTCATATCTATATCTCATTACTCATAATACTGTTCACTATACGAATACACGCTTTTCTGAAAAATTACTGCCTATATGAAGTTATCCCTGCTCGTGATAGTAGAGCATATATTTGCTTTAACTATCTTTCAAATCTTGTCAACTACATAAATGATTTTCTATACCAACTTCCAGCACACAGTATATTTTCTAATACCTATTCACCTAATCGTTTTGCATATGTGCTCTTTGTATTTTTGTTCCCGTTTTTGATGCAGTAAAGGCAGTTTTGGTACTTTAGTTTCTATTATGTTCTGTCTTAAAACCACTCATGCAATTGAGTATATTTCTGAATAATTCATAAAGCGAGCACTGTAATCAAAATTTCTAATCGGTACATTTTGTCGCAAGTTCTTAACCCTCAGAATAGACATTCAATTATCACAGAAAAATAGTTTTCCAGATTTCTATCGCGCGGTGTTGCTTCTGCGTCGAACCCCTCAGGGTGTTATAATATAACGAACGTGTATCATATTATTAATAAATATGCCCCGCAGCTATACTGGACCGATAACCTGATCGGCAAGCTTCCGTGATATTATATTGAAAAGCAACAATTTTACGACCATTTTCGTGTAACAACAATATGTTTCAAAGTTTTTATTTTGGAAAATTCTATCTAAACTCAACGTCAAATAACTATTTTGAAATTCGGAACTCACTTGACAATTCCATCGGCGCACTTGGTGCTGAAATGTATGTATAAGCTATAAAATAACTTACATTGAAATTGGTGTACATTACTTTTGTCAGCGTACGTTGAAACAAGTAAATACTCACAAAAGCCTAGTTAAATAAAGTATGAAATGATTTATTCCAATATTCCCACGTTAAACCAATTTATTTGCCTCACACATGATTCTATGCCAAAGACAACCTGGCAACTGAATGTCAATTCAGGATTTTTTACAGTATGTTTTTATCTGGAATAATTTGTAATAAGATCCGTCAGGGGCCTCGTTCTGTATTTACCTTCATATAAAAACAAGACTATCTTAAGGTTTTAGAAGTGAGAACGAAGTGATATTAAAAATTGGCGTATTTAATCTTGCTTACATCTACAAATGCACCAAAAACGTTGGTAATCGCGTTGTTGAAACAAAACATCTGATTACGACACCAAAGAAGTTGATATGAAATGAATAATATATACTATTTCAAATAATAACAAAAATCAGCTATTCGATTTTGCCTATTTTTGCCATCGTACAATTCAATCTTTGCTTGCTTTTGGAATATTACTCTCCCGTTTTAATCGTTGTCTTCGCTTATCTATAGTGTTTAATTAGTATATCTACGGTACTGCCTATTTCTAAAGTTTGTCAATTGCATAATGAAAATTTGAGATTTTATCAAAAAGTTTCTCTCCTATAAAACGGTAGTCAAACTGCATATAAATAATTGATGAGAAATGAAATAGTTGTTTTAAAATGTCTGAATATCGAACACATATAGCGATTGCATCGAATTGTCGAACGAGAAATTACTGCAGTCGTTTGGGCCAGATAACAAACATAATTCTGTATTTTCTTATATATGTCTAGGCCCCATTATCTATACCAAAAATGTTTTGGTACAAATAAATAAAAACGGATTGAATATATATTGTGATATTTTAATAGATGGATTATCTTTATTTAGCATAACAAACAACAATCAACAAATAAAGTTTAATTGCAGACATATAAACGACAACAATGTATACCGAAAGAGTTTAATCCAAATTATAAAATCTTAAAATTTAACGTTTTGGGTAGTAAAGCTTGATAGGCGCAATTTCATAAATTATTCGTATAAACAATGATAACATGCGACTAATCCAGCCAACTACATTTCTTAATTAAAAGCACATTTTGATTTTTGATTATTCTTAATTTATTCACTCCATGCAAAAGTCAAGCTAACCAAATTTCTGCATTAGAACAACTAGCACAGACGAAATTCAAATGTTCTTTGCATTCAACTATCGCATTGAAATGAAACATCTAACAAAATGAGAAAATATATTTCTATAGCTGAGCCCTCAGGTCGCCGATACGCACACATATAAACACGTAGTCAAAGGTTTAGAATAATTTATGTAAAATTCGTCGTGGTTAAAAATAAGAGTCAATGTGCTTCAGTTTGTTAGCAATTCTCAACAAAATAAGGCTTAACAGTCATAACGCTGTTGTATGAACGAGCAAGTCTATTTGTTGAATATTGCCTAGCCTCTCTTCCAATGAGGTAGTTTTCTTCATTAGTCAGTTTTTTAACGTTGCCAAAAACAATGGAATTATAAATTTATTAATTTAAAGACAAGAACGGAAGGGCACCATACAGCTACAACAATCCAAATGCGATACAGAATTGCATCAGTATATATCTAAAAAAAATCTTTTTTTAACTAATCTACTGCAACTGCAGGCAAGTTCTATTCTGATTTGAGAGAACAACATTTTCAACTATCTCTGAAGCATACACAACTGTACAACCTATGCAGAACTAGACTTCAAAATGAATAGTAAATTCTAGCTTATTGGACACGTGAGTGGACCTATGGATCGTTTCAGTATTAATGGTGTTTGTTAGATTTGACCTCGCGCGCCTCACACTTTTGACCCTTAATATTTCTCTATTATCTTAACAATGCCCGACAAATTATGTTCTATCTTTATTATCTTAATTTCCTGTTGACAGTGACTCATTATTGTGCCACGGTAAATAAAACTTTTCCCCCGGGTTTTAAGATAACGCTTTTCTGATTCTTTGTTCTATACGACACTGCGGAATTGTGGAAAGTGTCGTTTAATATTGAGATTTGGGTAGATCTGAAGTATGCGCACCAAGATGTCGCACAACCTGAACCCTAACCTGGTACACAAACTGAGTTCAGGTTGTGCGCCATCTTGGTGCGCATACTTCAGGAGGTCCGAGATTTGCCCTGGATTTAGTTAATCATAAGGGTGCGCGTTTCGTGAAATCTGCCATATAAATTTAGCTTAATTAGGTCCTATTTAGTATTGGCGATTATTTCTTGTTATTGTGAATGGTATATTATCATTATTTCATTGCTTATTTATAGTGCATCCGTGTCGTTATAAATTAGTTTTATCGTTGGTCTTCAAGTTTCTGTGCTGTAGCAACCCTTTACTCATATGTGGAGAATGATGAATACAGTTTGTTTTCTAAGGATCTCGTTGCCTCTTTACTACTTTGGTTGTGCAGTTACTAGAAGCTGGGAGATTGCGCATAATTCTTCAAAACGGATGCGGGTGAAAATACAGAAATAGGACTCAACTACAACAACGTTGAATGGATTGGAATTCACGTTCCAACTTCACAGTGTTGTTGATGTTCTTCTTCTTGTTCTTCTTTGTCAAAGAAAAACGCTTTTCTCTTTTCGCTTTTTAAAATTTTCAGTGCTTGGAGATTAAATTTTTCGCTAGAAGGCTAATACTTTTATTTATTTTAAATATTCCAGTGAGCTGCATATTGTTCGTTTTTTGTGTGCTATGACGTCATCCGAATTTGCCACTAGGTGGCGCTACGTATATATTTTATTTTCTCCGAACTTGAAGCAATGCTTTTGCGTCGTCTGGTGTCGCTAGTGGTTACTCTTGCGAGGTTGTTTTAATGATAGCCAGTTGCGTTCTGAACACCTCGCTGCAAATAGCTTGGTATTGGTGGTGAATTTATATATCATTGAAATTAGTAGTTGGATTAATATTTGGCTTATATACGATTGTAAGCTGGTTCAGCTTTATGAAGGGTTATGTATTTTCATGAACCTCAAGCAAGAATGAATCGTGGGAAGATCAAAAAGCCACACCCATCAGAACTTCGTCTCCAACTTTTTCTCAAAATCGCAGTTAAATACTCACAATTAGCGTTTAATCTAATGGTTAAACATGAAAGTATTTTATTACATACTCATTCCAATACGTGGCTAAATAATATTACTTTTCGAAAACTGTCCTTCATCGTGTGAAATTTCCGATTTGGGATTCTTTTTTTTGAAAGGGCGATGGGTATACGAGTTTGTAACTAAAGGGTTTTTTACGTTTTATAGAGGGAGCTTTCAAACAAGAAAAAAATTTTCAAACAATTTCCCTTTTCAGAATTTGGGTATTTCAGACGTGCTATGATCCTAATGCAATCAGTAAATACCTTTTTTAAGATGCAAAACAGAAATGCAATTTTCTGCGGTTGCACTTGGCCCAAAATCGAAAAGAAAAATTTGCATCGAGGAAAAATGACAAATTCTTATTCTAAGTGTTGCATAAAAATTGAAAGATCTCATCGAATGATGCAGATAACTAACTTCTCTTAGATAAAACAATCTTTTAATCGAAATTATCCGCAACAATGTGGATAAATCTTCAATTTAGGCTTGCTATGCTGAATGCTTTTTATATTTCTAACCCCGTATTGTTGTTTCATTTTATAACTAATACCACACCCGACTACGAAAACTTGACCTGATCAACTACCCTGATACTTCATTTGGTGTAAAATCTAAGTCAATCATGTCATACAGCGATACTTATCTTATTTTAATGAGAAAATTATTCACTTATGAGAAATTTTTACCTAAGTGGGAATAACTATAAACCTGACCCTAAAGAGGTGGAGGTCAAAATTAAATAAAACCAATAATGACGACACAGACACAGAATTTTATTTAAGTATTCAAAAATAGGAAAAATAAAATACAATACTCAATACTGTTCAATACACTGATGAAACTTTATTGTTTGTATTAATTTAAGATAGGTTACGATTACATGTGGAATAGTTGCAAAACAAGGAACGACACACAGAGACATACCGGAAGCAAGAAAATTCTGAACTTAACAAAACTTGAAATAATGTCATTATTTAATTAACATAGCTTTATTGAAAACAATGATAGGATGAGAGAAAAAAACAAAATGGCAACGTTTTGCTAATAAACTGTTGACATAAAAATAATCACAGAATATACACCAGACAACATAACGAAAAAATTCGAAGTAAATAATAAATTGAAGTCAATGCTCAGTCATGAATGCAGAGAAATATATTGCAGCAATTACAAATAATACGATTTTTTTTTACACACACTATGAAGGCCTATAATAATTTTTAAGTCGACATGGTTTCAAATAATTACATATTGCAACAATTGTTTTTTTTTATTTTAATAATTATTATTAAATTTTTAATTTTTTTTTATTATTTTTTATCGGATCGGAATCCTCTGCCGACGGTAAGCTATAAGCATAAATTTAAACCTAGTTTCACAATATTTTTAAATGTGTGTTTGTGTATATCGTGAATTGAATAGAATAAATAAACAAATGTTATTTTCACAATTTAAAAAAGTATATTTCCAATTTTTTCAAAATCACATGACTGGATGACGTAATATTTCCGACGATTAGTTCTTGTGATACTGCAATGATTATTTTAAAGTTACATTAACAGTAAAAGGGAATGTTTTCATTCAAATATATTTTGGTTCTATTTCTTCATTCTACATCAAAACAACAACCTAACTAAACAATGTTGATTGACAGATAAAAAATTTTCACAAAAATTTCTTTTCACTGACGAAAATAATTCTCCTGTAAACATTCACGAAATGACACATCTCAATATAAATGTTAATTTTTTTAAAATAAATTGAAAAAAAAAGAACGGAGGTCAAACCTCTGAAAATTGGATTATATTTAATTTGCCACTTAGTTGTTTTGAACAAACTCGGGTTGACTCCCAAATAAAGCAATCGCACCTGTAATATATCGATTTTTCAAATCAATAGCTGTCTAAGAAAAGCGTTCATTACGGTTGTTTTGATCAAGATTTTCGATATTTGATATCACTTATCTTGAGTTGACAAACGAACCGTCGAATTTTGTGCTTGTGGAATGTCGTCAGCAGTAACACAAAACGGAAACATAATTTGTGTCCAGGTTTGGTAGGTCCCAATAATACAAATTACGTTAATGAGTAAATTAAAGTCAGTAGAAACGGCTACTAAAATAACTGGCACGCCCTTGCTTACTACACCATATACAGCAACTAGCGTCATATCCGTAATAATACATATAGCAGTCAGCAGTATCGTACGTCTTATTGACTTAAGGGCTTTTTCTGACAGAGATCGTTCAGAGGTTGTAGCTTCATGGCGTCTCCCAATCGCTATCTTGCTGCCCTCACTCTGAGGTTTTACGGAATTAGTGTCTTCAGGAAAAGATGGGGGCTTTGCTACCGTGTTTGGTACATTGCAGGTAATGCTAATTTCAGTTTGCTTTCCTGACGCGTAGCCCCTTTTGCATTTCCATTTTTGTAGCTTATCCCATGCAACTGGATAAATAAAAAGTGTCATCAACACTACTTGGAAGAAGGCATTTAATGCCGCGTAACATATAAGAGGCCATCGCTGTTCTTCATCACTCATATCATACAAAGCGACACATCCAACATAATTGGCATTATTTGATACCGTGTTGATACCATGAGCTAGTGTGGATTTGTTAATTCCGTATCGATGTGGTATCCAATTTGCGGCTGCACAAAGTACGCCAAGAATGAGCATCGCAACAACAAACAATTTGTTGAAAATGACTAATCTCCGACTGTACAGAAACTTGACAGTGATGGGATCGCAGTAGAATAACCACTGTTTTATCCACAAGAATCCATATACCCCAAAATAGGCGAACGCGTATATTGTAACATCCGTGATATCATATACCAATTCACAGATGTCATCTGAATTGGCATTCCAGGCATAGAAAAACTTGAGTTGATCTGCCAAACATTTTATTAAAGTCGCAACCGCCGCAAATAAGCAGAAAATTCTCATGAACATTCGAAAATGCCTTCTTTTAGATGAAACACTGGCTCTCCTCCCTCTTGGTATTGATTGTTGATCCTTTGTGTTTCCAAATCTGTTTTTGCAACTTGACCACAGCAACCAAGAAAGGCAAATGGAAATGTAGATCAACATCGCGGTCATGATGCACAGCACCACTTGGCAACAATACCACATGATATTTCCATCGTATAATTTTCCATTATGTATGTTCTGTACCGTGTCATTTTTGTTCGGAATTGATACATTTCGTGTAATTAATTTCATTTTATTTAAATAAAGTAATAAAACGACTTACAGTCTGTTAAATTAAAAAATAGTATTCATTGTGCGATATTTCTAACATACCAAAAACAAAAGAGCAAAGAAATGAAAATTACAGGTTGAATGAATAAGCCAATAGACCTCAATCACCAAAGCATATGTAGTACATCTTCTGCACGCTGCCTCATCGACAAATGGAATCTACACACTGTTCACTCTATTTAATCTATTGCTTAAATTGTTAGTCATGTTGAATCCGTGAAACACAATTTTAAAATAACAGTCTTTTAAACAAATTAAACCACTTTAATACCAAGACAGACGTTATGGTTCAATAAAAAATGGCGAGATTAGAATTCGTAATCGTGTTGCAAGCTCGAAATATTAATTTCGTTTTATACGTTCCAATGCAGTAATCAAATTAATTCTGTTTCGCCACAGTCTGCTATTCATTGCCTCGTGCCTGTAACTGATAATGAATATGCATGTAAGCTACAGCTTTTTTCATCTGTTGTGAAGCTAGTTCACATATTTAAAAAAAAAAAATATATTATCAGAACCAAAAGTGGTAAGAACTTGGGTTTATACTCGCTCTTAGTTGATAAAACTATCAGAAGTTTATAAACCCGTCAGGATCATTTTCCAACACACAATTCCATTCGGTATGATTTCGATTAAATTGTAAAACAAAGTTAGAAGAATAAGCTACATTGGTTCTCTACTCCAGTACAAATGAAAACACCAAATACGCTACATTATATGTGTGATAGAAATTTAGTTTAAACATCAATGCACGTTTTCACACAATCGACAATAGTTCCAATAATGAACACAAGAGAAAGTTATTTGTGGAACTACGTTCAACTATACGGAGTGCGAGTTTATACAATATAAATTCCAAACCATTAAAAAATTTCAACTAACTTATTATTTTAAATTAAAATTCTTTTGAGCTACCTTTGTTCATTAAGAAAAAACCTAACAGCTATGTAAACCACTTAAATGCTAGCACAGCAAAACCAAAATCAATGAAAATATGTTACGAATGGGTATTTATGTTGAAATTTATGTGAATATTTCTTTCCAACAACTGATGCGTTTACAAAACTAAGTACCGATGACGCATGATGTATATCGATAATTTGAATAAGCCCCGAAAGTGGAAAGACTAGCGTTGTTATTCCTAAGTAACAAGAATGCGACAGTTAAAGCAATCTTGTGGTGTGCTGCTATACAACGAATTTATAATCATCATGATATCGCAAAGAGCATTATGTATATATTATTTGGTTACGCTTGAAACAGCAATTTTTTATAGAATATGAATGCACAAAAGCTAACATTTGTTCGTTTTTCATGCGCTCTAAATGCTAATATATCTTATTTTCTATGTATACCTGTCTGTTCTTTCTACCAATTAACCGCGATACAAATTTCTTCAACAAATACGTTACTCTAATCTCGGTGACTTTTACCAAAGATAGACGCATTAGGATTTATGATCTCCTCTTAAGAATAACGAAATTTTTAAACTGAAGACTATTTTTTGTTTTGTTCACTGAGTAACGAGACAGTTTGAACATTACTGATTATTTTTAACCTACATCGGTAACGCGATTATAGCTCGCAATATGGTTTTCCCGACATGTTCTTGCTAATCAATGCGCAACATTTTGAAGTATCTTCTTCCAATGACGCATACATAACAACACATGAGTAAATCTTTTCTTCTTTGATCAATGAGTAAGAATGAACATAAACTTACAAAGTCAGGAAATGGAACAAATCGAAGACTCCTTATTCAAGTTGTCAAAGTGGGAGCGTAATATTTTTGACGTGATTATTATAACGTCATGCTAGGTATATATATATAAATCGCACCCGCACCTGGTGCTCAACGCAGCGGAAGCACAATTTATGAAATGGGTTCAAAGGTCATATCATGAAAAGGGCCTAAACTTTGACAAGATGAACGGTTACTAGCGTTCATCGGTACTACCCACTATTGGATTCGCGGGTGAAATTGCTCAAAAATATTGTGTTACGCAAGCCATTTACACACTTATATTTTATTTAACAAGAACTAAACTGAATGCGCTTTGCAAAAATTCCAAAATGACCGGAAATTGTTCTAAATCGCCTGAGGAAATTGTAATCTGACGCAAGTATCGGTGGATTCATGCGCTATAAAACTCAGAGATAATTAACTAACTAGATCTTGTGGCATACAATATTTACAGCATATTTTCAAAATTGAAAACCATTTTCTTGTGGATGGTCGGAATAGATTTGTTCTTAGAAACACACGAGATAAAAAGTAGTAAATAACGTTATTTTGACAGATTGGTGAAAATTACTCGCTATACTCTTCAGAAATGGCATCGAATAGGTTGGAATACAAATTGTCTGGACGGCTCATTTCTATAAATAAATTTACGTTTGACCAATGAACATTTAACAATGTAGATATATATTTTCGACGTAGTTTTTAGCTCTCTAAGCGCCATCTTGGTACGAATACTTCGGGAGCACTGAATATTGAATATTATGAGTATAGTCTTCAATTAAAAAAAAAATAATGTTAACGCACTCTAGAGTCTAGACTAGAGCACAAAACAATGTCATGTTAAATTTACCGGCATTCATTGAACTCAGCCCATTCTGCTTAACGATTGAAATTTAGCAAACAAATTTCAATAGTAATGTCAACATTCTATATTAGGTTTCTGATGATGCAATATACAAATGACTAGAAAATGCTGTCACTGAAACTATCTCTTTTCATGACTCATCTTAACGTCCTTTTTTATTTATATATGACCCTAAGGAATTTTGTGCAAATGGAAATGAAATCGATGGAAAGGAAATGTAAATCACTGACGACATTGTTTCTGTTGTCTGCGTTTAGTGTGACATTTCATGAATATCATTCTTTGTATAAGAATACCATTGGCCTGTTCAAATTGTTATTTTTCCTCTCAAGAGTTATCTATCTACTTTCTATTGTTCAAGCATAATTAGAAAACTGATTGTACTGTATATATGAAAATGCAATACGCAGGATTACACAACTACTTGGTGACCTAAAGACTTTGAGAAATAACTTTTTGCGCACTAGGAAAATTTCAAAAAATTCATACCAGCGAGGTACTGGAATTTGTGAAAATCGAAAAGAGGAGAAACTCAACACAAATTAATCAGAAAATTAATCAGGGGTGACTAAAGCTCAGAAAAAAGCAATCATTCAATGATATGTTTGACTTGACTATGTTTTTGTGCCTCCTTTATTCTAGCATAATTGCCTAAGTATAAACTGCTGTTCTGCATTCTCGCAATAAATCATTAGTTGGGTAATCTAAATCCGCTTTGATCTTTGTAATTTGCTGATGCAAAAGGTTGATCTTTTGTATGCTCATCTGGCTATAATACTAGGGCAATTAAATAGTTTCATACATTTTCATAATAAAAGTTCAAACTATCTGCAAATGCCATTAATTTTAAGTTTCATATTTCAATCTCACTAGTTTTTCTAAAATGAAATCATTTGCAATTGAACAAAAAAATCTTATGCAGATAAGTATTCGTGTATTCTAATACATTATGGTTAACCTTTTGATAGTATAATGATAGTATAATGCTCATACATATAGCCTTGATGATTTAATTCCCCTTTGTCGTTCATTTCAATGCGGAGGTGAAATATAACGGTGGTGTGTATATACAATTTTACACAAGGAAGTACAGCGTAGCAAAATTATAGTATTACGCAGGAATAAATATTCAGAAATCGCAACGTTATAATGGTAGAGTACTGCCAGAAAATCAAAGCCAAAAAATTCTGTATTGATTAATACAAGCAATAACCAAATTAATTTCCCACAATACACCACGTGCTTGGAAACACTCAGCTTTTGTAAACATATGAGGCATATTCAGACACCCGGCATATTCTTATGTTGTTATAGTCACGTTTCACCAATCTAGGTATCGCATGTTATTTCTTATTCCTTAATTTTCATATTTTGGAACGCAAGTGACGTATAGTTATGAAGATAACGATTTCCCAATGCCAAAGCGGGAAAGTTAATTAATTATAATTTGGTTTAGTAAGTCCGATTGAATCTTGAATCGTAGTCTCGTTGCTGTAATATTGCAAAAGCATACTATTCCAAGTATTTTACTTCTCGGAAAACAGTATATTATTACGTGTTCCATCTCTGGCTTATTATGGGCAGAGTAGCATTTACGTATGTTATGATGATGTTAAGTCAACCATCATACCGGACGCATTAACAAATTAAATGCTCAAATAACAACCATTGCCTTATGGAAGTTTAACCTTCTGCGAAGGAAAAGCAACCTGTTCTGACTGACGAGTGAGTGTTGGGAAAAAAAAAACACCAAATGTTTGTAGTTACAATACATTCCAATTTCTGATAAAAGTTCAAGTATTCCAGTCTACCAACTCTAAACATCAGAGTTTTATTTTAAATTTAGAAAATGTCGATTTGCGTGGAATCTTAGATTACTGCCTCCAAATATCTTGACATCATATGTCGGATACTTATTTAAAAAATATTCAAAACTCCTAAAAGAAAGAACAAAACGTCCTAGAATTTGACTGGCTCTCCAACGCTACCTCGTATGACTCAATTAGTATCATAGTGTAAGTCAGCAGTCGATGAAAACGTCATACGTTGCACGAACAAGTGTCGGCTGCGTGAGACAGTTACAGATCCAAATTTTGACGGAACATGGATCTATCAAAATTTGCATGCTTTTTGGGTAAACGTTTCTTGTTTAGGTATTTGATGTTGTTCAATGATGTCTTCACAAGTATACAAACTAAGTGAAATCATTCGACTAAATTACCATTTAGATACACCAATATTTGCATTGGTCAAGATTAGCAATTGCGTGCATTTTGCTGAACTCTTTCAACTCTCGAAGCAAATGACATGCCAGAAAATGATGATGCTGTCTGATTCGTAGCAGCTCCAATTCATATCATATGAGATAATGTCGTATTATGACATAATTTGAACTTGATCACGTGCTACAAGTTTAACTAACATATCGATTTTAAAATGATACACACTCATACCATTGGGGATTTTTGACGTGGAATATGGAGCGCCATTCGTGATGTTCAAGCATATTTTGCAATCCTGTTGCAAGGACATATCAGGTCTTTTGGTGAAAGTTCGACTAATATTAACTGATTAATATTTTTAGAATATGCAGACGGCAAGTAGAGTGTTAAACTCAAACGATGTGTAATTTTATACGGTATAAGATTGACGACATAGCGCGTATGCAAATCAGACAGCTCCCATAGGGAACAGCATAATTATGCACGATTAGGACGTTGATATCAGTTTTCTTTATAGCAAATACCTTTCGCCAGCACTACGTTTAGAGGCTTGTTTATGAATAGTTGACCTTGCATCCTATGCTTTCATGCAATCTTCTATAGTAAATCAGTCTAGAAATATATATATTATATTCTCAACAAGTATATACAAGAATACGTCTATACACAACACAATGATTTACTTTCAAATACCTACACTACTCAATACCCAATTTTGTTATAAGTAATGCAACTGTTTACTGATTGATGTTCAACTTAACTTGCCTTGGTACAATGCCGCTAAATCGAACTCTTGAAACCCTGGCATGTATGAAAACTGAAAATGTAAATAAATGATTTTCCTAAGTGAAACAAATTGAAAAATATTACACAAATAGATTACAGCTAAAGATATGATGTTAAAACTATACATAGAATTTATATCTGACAAAATATAAAAATATACTGTTATTTGATATAGTAATCCATGTCAGACGCGCGATGTATCATTTTACCAAGTGGAAGTAAGTATATATACGTTGAGTTTAGCGCGACACTGTAGTTTAAAAAGTGTTGTTTAATTATTATGCATTTTATAGTAATTTTTATATTACTTGTATTAGATTATCATTCCATTTCGCGTCATGTCTTATATATTACATTAGACAGTCCTATTCCCTCCTTTATTGTTAATGTTGGACTTGCAAATATAGCAAAGCTTATACAAAACTTATATTTTAGCTTTAAATACAGTGACATTTTATCAATATTTATTAAAATTTTTAATAGTACAAAAACTCGAAGCGTAATACAGTATTAAATATCATATACACAAATAACTGCTTCGCTCCATTCTAATCATTTATCCTCTTTGCATAATATCAGAATATTATTTTAATGTCAAAATAACAAGAATATTAAAGACTAATACACATCACAATTTATATACTCTATGGCAGCGATTTTCTCATGATGAATCAAATTGTAGCATAGTCTATGCTACAATTTGATTCATCATGAGAAAATCGCTGACATTTATACGTTTCTCCAAGTCTTCAGCATGCAGTTCTACAGATTTGTTCGAAATTGTTTGTTGAGAACCACGTGTAATGCTA